TTCATGAATCTTCCTCGTGTATTCCCACACCCTTGCTGACAGTCATTTAAATTATTCATATTTTTATGTTAAAATATCAGGCGTGTATCATAGTTATTTAACTGTTAGAATTTAGCTTGAAAGCCTTTAATAGTCTATTTAATGGCAGGTTCTATTGTGGCAACGTAGCCCATATATGGACAACATACAGCCCTGGTCTCCCCAATGTCGGATCTGGCCTGTGGTTATCCTGTGAACAATTGAATTACCTCTCACCTCAAACCAACATAGCAAAACAATGAAAAACGAGGAAGATTACAAAGGATATCTCCTGAGAAATTACAGAGGTCATTACCTGCACTCCCAAAGATAAATCAGATATTATAGAACTGTTCTTAGACCAATAAACTCACTTCTTTTCCTTTTCTTTAGAATTAAACCCAGCCACCGGCTTCAAAACGGTGAAATAAACTCGTAATCTAATTCGCTCAAGGGAACCAAACCACACACACATCATTTCTGAATATTCAACACAATTCTCGTTTTCCTTTTAATCTTTCACGGACTTCCTCTTTTACATGGACTGAAAATGAAATACTTCAACTAATATGAGGGAGGTTCAGCCTTTGAGAACAATTATTAATTTTTACCAGCTCGCTAGAGGTGTTTCAGAACTCCCCCGGGCCTGCTGTGTGCCGTCTGCCGTAGTGCCGCAAATTAAAGCGTTGATAATTAAGAGATAACAAGACGATTCTTAAGGCTGCTTCTCCTTCTGAGCACATGACTCGAGTGCACTGTCTTAAGGAGGTACGATTTTCCGGCTCTCTGAATTGCACATATGGAGTCGTCTTTGGCAATTTTGAAACAGAAGAACATCTCGTCTTATGTGGAACAAGGTCACCCGCCTGCGATAGTCCATCAGACAAAGTGCGCGAGCGCTCGCAGCCCGATGCAGCGACCTGGAGCTCAACCTCATCTGTGTCGAAGGACTCGCCACTGCTGTTGTGTGCTCTGCTGCCATTGGAGATTCATTGTAACAGGAGAAATTGCTTTTGGGACACATCAGCTGGAGAGTGCTCCAGGAGTAGGAAACAGATGCACAGAGGAACACAACAGCAAAAGGGGGTGAAGACGGTTCGCATGATGAAAATAATCTAGATTTATTTAAATCATTACTGCTGTCAATCAATTCAATTAATGTCCTGACAGGTCATTAATTGATCACAAATAACCAATATTAATCACACATATTAATCACAAGTAACCAATATTTGCTGAAGAATTATACAGTATTTGCGCACAAACTAGTTGCACAAAGACTGCTGTGTATAACTGTATACTACTGTGTATATTAATGTATATATTATATTAATATTGTATATAATTAGTATGTTATATATACAGTGTATATATATATATATATATATATACTCTAAAAAATGCTGGGTTGTTTCAACCCAAATTTGGGTCAAATATGGACAAACCCAAATGTTGGGTCAAAAATGCAATTAAAAAAATACTGTTGAAAGTGAAAGTTGAAGTTTGAAATTCAATTTTTAACCCAACATGTGGTTTAAAACAACCCAGCATTGTTTAGTGTGTGTGTGTGCTGGGCAACGATTAATCATATCCAAAATTATTATATAGATATATGTATGTATGTGTTTGTATATGTATATGTATATGTCTATATATGTGTGTCTATATAAATATATATGTGTGTGTGTGTGTGTGTGTATGTATAGCTGTATGTATCTACGTATATGTGTGTGTCCTATAATAATAATAATATGCAATACATATTATTTTCAGTCAGCTGTTCCATAATTTAAATTAAATGTGTGTGTGTATATATATATATATATATATATATATATATACTGTATATATATATATATTAAATGACATTATATATATATATATATATATATATATTATATATATATATATATATGTAGCGTCACTAATTGCATTTCAGATTGACAGCCCTAATCTTTATTTGTGTATTTTAAATGCCTATTAAGCATTTTTAGTCAGCCGTTTCAGTGTGCAGCGACATCCCCCAACCTCCCCCCCATGGTATCCCCTCTGTGAACCCTGGGAATGGCCTGGGATGTGCCTACCTGAAATATGCAACTGATTTTCCAACACCTAAACGCTGCCTCGCTTGAAGTCTGCTCATGCTGCGCCGGTGGGAATATTCAAAGCAGGTCTTATGAAATATTTATCGGAACATGAAAATTTCCCTGTATTTTAATTACCTGTTTTATACTCGAGGTACAATAAAGATTAAGTGAGCCCACTGCTCAGAGGTGACTCAGTGTTCATTTACAGAGATTATGGTGAATAATTAAAAAAAAAAAATTGGTTGCTCTGTGAGTTGGAAGAAGAACCAATGAAAGGATTTATTCAGAGTCAAGCCTCATCCATTAATTTTGAATGCAGCCCAAAGCACCTGCACCGAGTGTTGGCATGTTTTATTGAGAGAGCGCTGTGTTTTCCAAGATCACATGCCCGGGAGGTCTCAGTTAAAGGTCTTCTCTTCAGAATCTATATGTTGTGTGTCATTGCACATAAAACCCCTTAGCCAAACGTAAACTAACGTGGAAAAAAAAACGCCTTCAGTACATGCAGGCCTGAAACATACTCCAACGCAAATACGTCAATGCAGGCGCTTCAAGCGACACAAACTTGATTTTCACACGTCATAGCAATTCATAGCACAGCGCACAAACTACAGGTTGCATCAGTTCAGAGGTTAGGGAGAATGGTGTGTCTATGTGGACTATCTTGCAATAATTAATGAAAGTTATGTAGAAAAATACAAAAAATCTGATAACTGTGAAATCTTTAATTCTGTTCATTTATTACTGTCTTGCAATAATTCATAACAGTTATAATATTTTAAAAAAGTACAAAAAACTGATACATTTGTGAAATATTTATTATTTAAAATAATTGTAACAAATATTAATTATAAGTTATTGTTGATGTATTTGTTCACAAAATGTAATTGCTTGGTAAAAATTCACTCTTTTTCCCCCGCAGAAAATATTATTTAACATTTAATTATTTATTTAATATTTTAATATTTTAAGTATTTATATACTTAAAAATGTGGTACAATACGCATATATATATATATATATATATATAATATATATATATATATATATATATACTGTATATAATGAAATATTTAATATTTAAAAAAAATAGAAAATATATGTAAAAATATATAGAAATTTGTTTACAAAAAGAAATTGATTGGGAAAAAATCCCCTGTTGTATTCAAAGACAAAAAGTAGCTACATTTTTGAGTAAACTATTCTTTGTTAGTAAGAACGCATGTGTGCGCCTTATTTGAAACAAATACATTGACATCTCTGTCTTCTCATAAACAGGTAGGCCTACATAATTGTAATATTTGTAATTGAGTTTGGAAGGTGGATTTCCTCATCCCTGTCTTGTTTAGGTGAGATGTCCCTCTGGGAAGTGTCCCTGGAGGAATGTGTGTTTTGGTCTTGGCAAGCAATGGTGAGCATGTGAGGAGGGCACTGTGCTTGGCTCATTTACATTGATGGCAAGACTTCTCCTTTGCTGGCATTTTCACCAGCCATTGATCCACTGCCTGCCTGATTAATCTTCTATAAAGGGATCAGGAGTCAATTAGTGTCTGAATTTCACTTTGAATTCCACATATGCGTCACCTTTCCCTTGAGAACCCCGACCCCTCTACACTCGTCCTCTGTACCGCACTCCTGAAATATCCATCTCCAGTCAATTTACATGTTTCCCTTTCATTACTCTTAGAGTAAAGAATACATCTGCATACCAAAGACAAAGGATCTACCTGCAGGAAGGAGACAGTGTTAGCTACCTAGAGACTGAAAACACTAGGATTCATTTATCTTTCTGGTTTTAATAAGAAGTGAACAAGGTTGACATAAGATATGATAAGATGCTGTACTTGGCTGTCTGGTAATTACCACCAAACCTATATGTTCCAAACCTAGTGACATGCCTAACTAAACCAGCTTTTTGAGGCATGATAGGTGCGTTCTTGTCCAAAAAGACTGTACATTGCACCACATTCAATACTGAAAGGTAACTTCAAAAATGACGGATGCACAGATTCTGGCCAGTACAGATATAAGCTGATAATTATTTTCATGTTATGGCTGATAGTAAAATTCTTTAATATTTTGTATAAATAAAAGAAAAATAAAACACAAGAAAATAATTAAATAAATGCTACAAGCGCATTTAGGCATTACAACATTGTAGTGTACCGTATGCAAAAAATATTTTATGTGCATGCATATTCATTTTGGGATTTGCTAAAGATAACATTTATCAGTATTATTAAATTATGAATGTTTTGAAAGATTAAGTTTGAGTGTTAAACAACAGAAAATCAAAATGTAATTTAGATAACACTGTAAAAAAAATTGTCACAATTAGTAATCACAACATTTTTTATTTTGTCAAATCAACTTAAATAATTTATTTAGTTCAGATAACATAATATTTTGAGTTTCTGATGATTAAATTAATCTCCTTCATTGTATTAACTCACTTTTTCCAGTTCAATGAACTTAAAATTTTAAGGAAACCGGGTTGATTACTTTTTTAAGTTAAACCAACAATATTTTTTACAGTGTGTTTGATATCATCTGATATTGTAACAATATTGTATCAATCTCTGAATCTCATACATACAGCTGTGACATTTTATTTATATTTATAAACAAACTGATTTTGATGAATAAAAAGAAATGGTAATGATCATGAAGGCAGTTTAGCCCAATGGAAAAGTGGTTAGTATTCGCCCCTGTTGGTTAATATTGTCACTACACCACAAGGCAAAAGTAACCAGGGGAGGTTCCAGTTTGTATTAACGCTGTGGAAATGATAATCTTTCATTTTCCTGTTGGATAGGGCTAATGCACGAATCACCTCTGCATGGTGGTTGATAAAAAAAGAGTTCAACAATGACATTCTAACTTGTCTTTTTACAGGTGATTCAACGCAGAGAAGATGGCTCTGTTAACTTTTTCCGTGACTGGGAAGCCTATCGTGAAGGATTTGGCAAGATAACAGGAGAGCATTGGCTTGGTAAGCCATCCATGTCACTATCCGTAATACAATCTCTCTGGAAAAAAAGGCTTTAGAAATATCAGTGTCACAAAAGGTTTATAAAACAGTTTTTCTCCTCATTCCAAATTTTCCAAACAATGTTTAGTTGTATGCAATTGTAAGCAATGCCTATTACCGCATATTACTGCATAAAAAAAAAATCTATAACATATAGCGTTGTAACGATTCCCTAACGGTACATATCACGATACTGAACTCACGAGACGATATTATTGATGTAGTCCAAAAGGTTAACAAAAAAAAAAATGGACTGTTGATTAAAATGCTACATTTTATATTACATTGTATGTGTAAATGTTGGACTTCTGGAAACCCAATGCACAGGAAAATACACTCTAAACAATGCTGGGTTGTTTGAACCCAAATTTGGGTAAAATATGGACAAACCCAAATGTTGGGTTAAAAATGTAATTTCAAATTTTAACCCAATTTCAACTTTCACTTTCAACTGTACATCTCTTAATTGGATTGTTAACCCAATATTTGGGTTTGTTCATATTTGACTCAAATTTGGGTTGAAACAACCCAGCATTTTTTAGAGTGTAGACAGACCAGATTAACAATATTCATAATTCTGAAGCTGAAAACAGAATTATTTTAGACGAATATTTTACTGACTAGATAGATTTAAAATAATGTTGGACACTTTTTACTGGTAACATCAGACATTTGGCATTATCAGGACACACAAATATTCCCCCATTGCATTATTATACGTTATATTCAACTTTATATATAGCAGTTGAATGTAGTACTGACACTAAAACTCGAATTTGAATTTGAAAAAAAAAAACTCCAATAATTTTCAATTTGGATGAATTATGCACAATACATATGGTCTCTATCCACATGCATTTTTGTATTGCGATATATTGTGACACGATATATTGTTACACCCCTAATAACATATAATAAGTACTATATACTATATAATATTCATTATACATGGAGTTTGTTTCGCTCCTCTAATTTAATTGCCTGTATTTGCAACATAAACATTCCTGTAAAAAGTAAAAACTATTTTCGTTTCATGAACAAAACTAACCAGAAGAGCTGGCCATGTTGTGTCTAAATGTACTTAACTTTTTGGTTATAGTTCTGTTGTGTAAAAGTGCACCCGCAGCCGTGAATCACAGTTTCACAGGTTTTTGGTTTTGAATGACAGTAACATCTTTAAAAGCAAGGTGATGAGTTATTCCACTTCTGTCGTAACACACAAACACGCTTCTCGGGACTGTCGCTATTTTTATGTCTGTTTTCTGACAACTGTAATGAACAGGGGCGCGTTTGGTTATTGCCACGGTGAACTGCCAGCCCAGACAAATGCCATGCTGTGTGTCCAAAGCCGAGCGTAGGCAGATGGCAGTGGGTGGAAGGGAGCGAGGCTTTACAAAGAGACTGGAATGTAGTGAGGAACTTGTCATAGCGTCTACTGTTGGTTTCATCCCATACTGGAATTAAAGATCAGATTCAGCTTTTTAATTAAATTTGATTCAGCTTGCTGGTTTTGTGATAGTTCATTGTTATTTACTCAAACTCATGTTGTTCCCAACCTTTATGCTGTCGTTTTTTTTTTCCATGGACTAAAATAAAATAGTCAAAACACCATAGAGAAAGTCCATTTCTTCAGATTATTTTTATGTCTATTCCTTACACAAAGCTATTGTATAGCTTCGAGCTTGGAATATACGTAGTTATGTGGACTTGACATACAGTACTTGTATAGACACACCTTGTCATTGTATGGAAAAAAAATAAATAAAGTAGTCAAAGCACCATAGAAGAAGTCCATTTTTATGTCTATTCCGTATTATAATATATGGACTACTTGTGCAGAGCTTGACATACTTTACGGACACCTTGTTGTGTAGAAAAAAAAGCTTAAAAGGGATTCTCCACTTTTTTTGGAAATAGGCTCATTTTACCACTCCCCCAGAGTTAAACAGTCGAG